TGTTGCATAAATTTATAAGAGACGTTTGTTCTTGTTTACTGTGACTCCGTATCCGTGGATCTTGAGGTCACCACCATCGACCGAGAACGTAAACACTCGGCCATCCAACTGGACCGCCTAGCATGGTCGGCGGCGTTGTCGCCTCGCTCATTCTTTTATTTCATCATCATTCCAGTTTTTCTTTCCTTATTCTGTACCCTACGATGGAAAAAAGACTTATTGTACCTGTGTAGCGGTTGAGATTTTCCTTTCAAGCAGTCTTTCTTCGTGAAGTTCAGCTAATTGGTTGCATTGATTAGACTAGAACTTCAAAACTAAGATACAGACAACGTCCACAGTATAAATGGACTGAATTTTGCAATTCGGAACTATAAATTCTGGCCCGGTTTAAAAACAACGTATGTGCCATTAGTTTCCCTATGAACATAAGTGTTTTTTCAGAGGAGCCAGAATTCATAGTTCCAAATTGCAAAATGCAGTCCAAATGTGATAGTGGAGATCAAAATATCCGCCAAAATTTGCCAAAAATTTGCGAAATCTGCTACAGCAAATTTTGGATAGCAGAATCACATTCAAACGGGTTTAACCAGAATTATTCAAAACCTGATTTTTTTATTCCTGCCATCCTACGCAACGCACTTGTAACACAGATCTACTTCTCCCTCTGAAAAAGTACGTAATACTTAACCACCCCTTCCTCTCCCTGAAACTGGGGTTTGAAAATGAATTATAAAATAATGAAGAATTTCCACCTCACGTCGATTTTTCATTTCTTAGTTTCGAAAAATCAGCACAATGCTAATTTCAGCGTATAAAGTAAGGTAGCCAGCCCGGACTCGCCCTCCCCCCTTTGTAACGCACCTGTAACGCAGGACGCAGGCTCTCTAGTCTTCCTCCTTCTCCCTTAAGCATTACGCATGTTATGAATAGCCCCTAAGAATCGATTAATGTAACAAGCACGTGTATGTTTCGGATGAATTTCGGGAATATCTGACAACCGCTAAGAAATCGCAACTTTAGAATTAATTACAATGCGAACGGAAGGCCCGCGGCAAAGCCGGCTTTGGTTCTTGCGTTTCAGGTGAGCTCCGCAAGAATTCGCGTGTGGTGCAATGTTGCCAAATAGCACGCCAAAACGTATTCATTTTTCCATGTGCGTAGCAATGCTACATGTGGAACTTTCTGTGCTGTGGCAAACCTGGTGTCCGATTCGCGGTCGCATCTTATGAGCAGCATTGACAAATCAAGCAAATCTTTACATTTCTCAGCTCCTCGTAGTACTCTCTTGGCGCAGGGAAAAAATTCATTCATGGGAACCGAACTGTTCGGTTGGCAAACTGGGCACCGATTCGACAGTTTGACACCCCTATACCAGGTAGTACCAATATTGAGAGAGTCTGCGGAGACTGGGTCTCATATGGTGATCCTTGAGATAAGGAAAGAAAAAAATTACAGCGAATTTTGGTAAAAGCGGGTGGGAAAAGGATTGTAGCTAACTTTAGATTACTAATACCACTGCTAACTTTGGCTAACATTTATTTTATCTTTCTATGAAGCCTGAAATTGCTAAGCCACCAGAGGTGGATCCATCAGCGGTCATATTCTCCAAATAAATGTTTTCTACCTGCACGTGCGAAAATTGGACATATTTCTATCAAAGGGAACTATGTGTATTATGACGTGACCTCTGTTATGCATATATTCTTACGGGTCGCAGGGCTCATGTCTTAATGCATATAGTTCCGTTTGATAGAAATCCGTCCAATTTTAGTTCGGACCCCTTTTTGATAAGCATAACCGCGGCCATGCGCATTCGGCAACGATGAGTTATTCCTGATTTAATTCTAATTTCGGAATGTATCTACTTGGAAACGCTCACAGAATGAATAGTGTTGGAAAATTGCTGAACGTAAATAATTATTTACTGTGCACTTGAGGATGCGTAAGAAACGTGGGAGTATTTAAGGACATGGGAACTCATTCCATTGATAAATAGTTTTACGTTCTCATCTGGGGTCGTTTACGTCCGTCAATCAAATACTAGAATATTCCTGGTCTTATTTCGTTTCGAGGATTTCTCGAGGACGACAATTTGAAAAAGAGTTAATAATTCTGGAGAACTTCTTTCCGGAAATTGGATTCCTATCATTTTATTAATTCAGAGCTTTCGATGTATGAGACACGCTGAAAGTGTACCTATCTTTGATTCTCTTTAAGTAAAGAATTGAAGAGAAAAACTGGTGTTAAGTTAAACAACTATGAGGTATTTTTGGGAAGAAGAATGGATAAATAATTAAAAAAGGGGGACACGTCATAACTAAATTTCCAAAAAAAAAATTTTCATAAATTTTAATTTTACGTAGGTATTGCCAATTCTGCATTTTATTTTGCGTCTAGCGCACCAATATGAGTGATAATCAGAGTTTATCAGAATGTCAATACCAACTTTTTCCCTTCTTTAAACAAAAATTTCACATCTTTACTGAAAACAGAGCACAAGGAGTTTTGTAACTTAAAAATTTCCCCAAAAAGTCCAATTTTAAAAGGCGATGCTTTTGGAGTTCATCTAAAGAATGGCAAGTGGCAACCTTGCTGTAATCGATCGTAACCCGCGAAGCTAAGTCAGTGCTGTGTCAATCGGAGGGAAAAAGAAAGTGGTGAATGAATGAATTAAAGCAGGACGATTTGGACGAAACAGATAGAAAGCTGGTGCTCGACTTCAGTCACCTCTCTTAATTAGAGCCTCGCCGATGGACGGCCACTCAAACAAATCGAGCCCAACGCAAGTGAGTATGATGACACAATGACCCGATACCAATCGTCAGAGTTGCCACATAACCGACTGCGATTCTGAGATTTCCCTGTTATTTAACCTCGATTCAATACGATGAGAAGGGTTGCGATCATGGGTGGAAGTGGGTACTTTTTGTAGAGAGATCAGAAGGGCACCTTACACGGAGAAAAAAAGAACAGTTAACCTAACGAAAGTGTCTACTTGGAACTTTTCTACGTTAAGTTAACACCGAAAAATAGTTAAAATTTATATCCATTTAAAACAAGGATACTTTCCAGTTACTTCAACTAGAAAAAATCTAACTGGCTATTCCAGTTGATTCAAGTATCATTCCATTCCGGAAATATTTATTGGAGTAGTCTCATTGGATCAAGTAGTTTTCTGGTTGATCTGACAAAACATTTTTCTCGGTGCATCAAAGGGGAGTCTATAGGGGGTACTAAAACCACCCCACCGTAGATGATCCGTGGGATACAACCCACTCTAGAGGAGCTTTATGGGGATCTACTCAGCTTCAAAAGGGTGTCCGAAGAAGATTTTGAAAAATTGAGTCATCTCAAGAGCATGTTAAAATTGTTCAAGCTGTTTTTGCCGCAAATTGATCGAAATACAATTTCAAAGACGAAAGATTTGTAATGCCTTTAACTAACAACCAGTGGCGTGGCGTGCTTTGTGATATATCGGTTGATCTGTCATTGAAACATATAGGAAATGATCGATAATCGGGGTGTTCGCAGTGAGCACCTTAATAATCGATTCTTTACCGCAAGTTTAAATGGCATATTAATCGATACATCGCAATCCACTGCTAACAACATCCTTCACATTTCTTGGGGGAAGGGTCTCCTCAATGATTCCGCCAATGGTTGCAATTGCTGAAGAAGAAGGAAAATAAAAGCAAGGTAAAGGAAGGAGGGACGAAGACGAAGATGAAGATAAAGATGAAAAATAAGATGAAAAAGAGGAAGGATCAGCACTTGAATGCATCGAAAGATTAATAGCGCACACGTTGTTTGTAATATAAGCTTGAGATATCAATTTTTAATTGTAAAACGTTGTCCAATTATGCATTGGACTACTTCCGGAGTGCCTAGCAATGAAGGGATTTTCTCAATGCGTTCCTGGGCAACTTATCGAGTGCCGCGCACCAAAGAAGGAAGAGGAATCTTGCTACACCACACTCGAGTGCCGGTCGTGTAATTAATTCGCGAAGGCCAATTTGGACCAAAGTTGATTTTGGTTTTTTTCCGTCGCGGGGTGTTTGAATTGGTGGAAGCTAATTTTAAAAAAATCAAACGCTAATTTCTCGTTTATGAATCGATTTTGGAAATTTCCGAAATGTTTACCATGTTCGACGTGAAATTTTAATCTAATGCTGTTTTTGGTGCTGCTTCTACACGCGCTGTGTTCGGTCATCCTTTACAACAAACATTCATGTCAGATCTTTTTTATTTTTTAAGATAAATTTTAAAAGTATTTCTTCCTCTTGATAAATTTTAATGAGGCGGATCAAAGCATCATTTGAACTAATGCAGAAAAAATGTCTCCGTTTGGGAACATTTTTCATTTTGTTTCGACAGTGTTTTCTTTCTTTTCTCTTTATAAGTAAAACCTGGCAATGATAGGGGCTTGTCTCGAAAAATTTGAAAATCAGATATAAGATTCCTGCACTATTCCTTCCAATGCACTGAGAACAGTGAAGGTAGAAGATGATCATGAATCAAACTGCACTGAAAAAAAAAATCTCGGTGTATTTACTGAGAAAAGGGTAAAATTACCAAGAATTCAGGGTTCAATTTGATCCCAGTTTTTTCTTGGTAAAATTACCATGGAATTGGTAATTTTACCGAAAAATCTCCGTAAAATTATTGAACTTTCTCGGTAATTTTACTGGGCCTTGGTTAAAATGCCAAAATTTTTTATCGACTGTGGTAGAATTACCGAGATAAAATGGCAAAGTTACCGGGAATCGATTACCAATAAAAGTGGTATTCTTACCTGAAAAAAACAGTAAAAATACCGGTTTTTAGGTAAGCTTTTTAGTCCGTCTTGGTAAAATTACCAATAATTGGTAAAAGGAAGTGAGATGGTAAAGGTACCAACGGACTTTGGTAAAAACGCCGAGAATTTTTTTTCAGAGTGATTTTGGTGAATGTCAAAAAGCTGTCTTGGTCCATCTGTACTAATTATAAAATTTCGTCCTTACCTTCTTTATTCTTAGGAAGAGTTGGCAAGTGCGGTGTCTTGTTAATCCAATGCATTAGAATGTCTATGTCCCGTTCGACCTGCTCTGGAAACATTTTGTACTCGTTACAGAGTAATAGACGGTCAGATTCATTCGCATTATCCAATTGGGTCTTCATTTTGATCCTGCACAAAAAACCACACACATTCATAAGTTACTTTCATGAGACCGCATCATGTAAAACACGAAATTACATATTTTCTTAGTTGGTTTAAAAGTAAGCACTTTAATTCTAGCAATTAAGACCTCTGAATTGCCATGCACTTGAAATGCCCTTACTGACTACATGTATATCTTATAGACGAAACTACCAACCGACGATTCATTGTTATTCGAATCAGATCATACACGTACCCACATGTATGTAAACAGCTGTAACTAGTTGGAGACCCATTCATTATTCACCATATCGCCTTAAAAAAATGCATTGCCGACACATTTCAAGATGCACCGCTTTGCTGAAAGTCTTGACTGAAAACGGTATTCCATCGGAAGGAATTGATATTTCTGATTCCTGGAACTCTTTCAGAATTTGTGTGCTGACTTAGGCAATGCTGGCTCAAGCAACGTGCAAGTAAACACAACTTGAGTCTACCGCTCGAGCGTCAAGACACGAACGTCAGATTGCCCATCTTATATAGACATTTATTGTTTTATGTCACAGAGGTGCGATATATCGATGGCTAAAGTACGAGACCGAGTATCTCTATTGCGGTATCTCAAAATGTCGGATCCTATTTTACTTTTTCACAGAGAGACAAGCCAACTTTATGACTTGAAGTTTACCCACATTGAATATTCTACTTGCTGGAAGAAAAATCAAGAAAGTTTTCAAGAAATTACACTGGAAAAAAAAAACACATTGGGTCTAGAGTCAAGACTCTTGAAAACATTGACAAGAAAAAAGACTCTTGATTCAATCAGATTTAAGCTTAAATCAAAAGGAAATCCGCTCAAATTAAGAGGCTTGGTTCTTGATTCAAGCTTAAATCTCATTGAATCAAAAGTATTTTTTCTTGTGATGTTTTTATTTTAAGAGTCTGGGCTCTATGTGTTTTTTTCCAGTGTATGTTGACTGGTTTTCCATTTAAAAAAATAAGTATGCAACGTCGCAAATGGCGTGGTTTTATGAAGGAGGATCCCTTTGGTGACGTCAACTCTTATAGGTATCACCCGACATGTTAAGCTACATTTTTAATGTTAATTCTGAGTTTTGAGAATGTATCTTGGACCTATTGTACCTACGTGCTCGGACTATACTTGAAAGATATGTAACCATTAAACTACGAATATCTTACAAAAATGAACTTTATCGAGAATTATTAATTACTTGACAACTGTGTCGGGCTATAGAGCACATCACGTCGCAACACATGTGGATGTGAGATGCTGCAGACAATGTAACAGGTTAAGTGGTTATGTAAACAAAGGCCGGCTGCTCCCGCAAAATCACGCAAGAGACGCTATTTATAATCCGTGTCAACACTGATGCGTGATAATTACGATAAAAATAGCACTCAACACAGGTGAAAATTACATAAAAGTAGCACTCAACACATGTGAAAATTACGATAAAGGAATCAGAAAAAAGGCAATGTGAGATCCCCAAAAAATTCCCTGATCTGCTAAAGCACAACTTCAACTGTTTCAAGCCAAACCTTTGATAGTGGTTCGCGTACAAAATAACTGAATTAAAAAAGTTTGGATTCGACGTAAAAATTAATATTTTGTTTCTTTTATTTTTATTTTTTTTTGTTTAAAAAAAAAATCAAAGTGTAGTATTTGGTAGTAAAATAGTAAAGGATGCGTATACATTCACGACGCAAGATCGAAATTTGAAGAGTGCCGACCCCAGAAAATAATCCTTTGCTGCCTTTTAAAACCGGCAGACAGCGGTTCCGGCCCAGATATAATCCGAATGCAAAATAACCGCCAGGGTAGGTATATGGCTTAAGTTGGTCCATCAAAAGCTGAGCTTTAAGAGCAATCCTCCGGACTTTGTTGTTAACAAATACCGTAAACAGGTTGGGTCATTTTCCGCTATTAAACCGATTAATGCAACTATGTGGCTCTTGTGTTTACTCCAAGACCAAGGCCACGCGCGAAGTTCCAATTTACGGTTGCCGTCTTCCTGTAAATCTCTGACTCTCTCGTTCAAAATAAGTTATTTTTTGACTCGGTTTGGCAGCGTTGAATTTTAATCGATAGTATAAAATACGATCTCCCTTTGTAAACACAAAAAGCTGGCATGAAACATCTCTGTTTAGATTCCATATTAGAATGATGCGATTCTGTTTGCAAAGTTATCACGTGCTTGAGGAAAGGTCATGACTCCGTAAAATTTCATTTCAGAATAAGAAAGAGAGGGATTTAATACTTTTGTTAATATTATTAATGGCGCGGAGCGCCCTCAGGGGGTTAGGCCGCGTGGCGGCCAGGGGGCATAGCCCCCTAGTTTTACAATAATTTGGAATTACAATGTCTGGCTTAGCTTAAAAACATGTGCCATTAGTTTCCCTATGCCCGTATGTTTTTTTTTAAAGAAGGAGCCGGAAATTGTAGTTCCTAACAGCAAAATGTAGTACAATTATGCATCTTCGCATTGTTTTTTTTTTTTTTTTTTTTTTTTTTAAAAAAGAAAATATTACTTATAACCAAAAATCTAGATTTACTGATCGACATTTCTAACTGTATCACTGCATAGCGGGTCCAATGGACCCGCATTTAAGTTACATTGGTTTTACATATGAACGGCCTTTTTGCCGCATGTTTTCTGTTATCAACAGTGTAACACACTTATACTTCTCATGAAAGTGTACTGAGCAATAATTTAAATCAATGGTAAAAAGTTCCGTGTATCGAATACTACCTCAATTTCTGACTAATTGTGGGCGATTCTCAAAAAAATGGATATTCATACTTCAAAAAGTTTGATGGGTCGGTGATGACAATCCATCTGTAAATTTTTTTTGGAGTGATTTTTTACTTTGATCTATCTTCTGATCTGATTTTCTTCTTCTTTATTCTCCTCAAAAAATCGCCTGAGTCAAACTCATAATTAGGTATATCTACAGAAAAGGGGCCCATAAGGCTTGCAACGTTGCTAAGATTGTGCAACCTGTGGCTCATTATACACTATGACCTATCCAACAGCCTTGCAATGCATTCTCTTCAAATTTCTCCGTGAAGAAAATTTGACAGTAAAATAAGTATTTTTTCTAAAAATGGTATGTAAAACTGTGCAATCTTATTGTTAGCCGCGTTGCAAACTTTATGAGCCATTTTATTGGAGATGTCTTCAATTTGACTGCATTTTGCAATTTGGAACTATAAATTCTGGCCCTTCTGGAAAAACACTTATGTGCATAGGAAAACTAATGGAACATACGTTGTTTTTAAACCGGGCCAGAAATTATAGTTCCACATTGCAAAATGTAATCCAATTATTAGTCATAAATGGACCGAGTAGGTATATCAGAGGGGAACCAACCCACATTTTCGAAAAAATTGAGTTGAGAATATTTTCGAGTTCCACTCGCCGTATATTTCCTCCTGCCAAAAACTAAAAGTAAAAAAAAAGTAAAAAAAAAAAAAAATGTGAAAAAAGGGTTAAAGTTTATTTTTTACATTGACTCTTATGCAGGAATAAAACTTCTCAGTTTCAACATAATGTGGGTTGGTTCCTTTCTGATTAAACTCGGTCCAAATCGAACTGATAGCGAGTACACAGAACTATTCATTCTGGATTCGCTTTACTTTGAATAAAGCCAGAAAAAGTACCTCATTTAGAAAATCCAAAAAACAGGAACTTGGTGGAAAAAAACGAAAACAAAGCGATAAGTCGAATCCTGCGATGGATTCACCGACACTGATCACTATTCACTCCGCGAGAGAAATCGGACCTATCGAAGGATGCGTCTGATTACGCGGCTGTAAACTATCAGAAATTATTGATTATAGATTGGTGATCCGCTCGGACGCACTATAGCACACCGGCTCGGACACGGTTACGGGATCGAGTGAGGCGCTGCATGGATGCGCGGGGGTATATACTTGGATGGGAGACGGACTCGTATGCAGATGGGGAGCAGATTCCACCACCACCCAGCGTGGGCGCTCCGCCGCCGAACGTGATTTCCCGCGGATTCACGTCAAGCGGCCCCACCACGTGGACGTCTTCCCGCCCAAAATTCCCAGAAGACTTCAAAAATTTCCAAGTTTCCAGACTCTGTTGATGTTTGTTGAGGATTGTATTACTGCGTTATCGAAAAAACTTATATTTGCGTTATTAAACATTGAAAAAGTGGTGATCAAATTTGGACGGCAATCTTATAAGGCCTAAATTTCTCCCCATCCCTAAAAAAAAAACCTGATTTAAAGGTAGTTAAAAAGCCTAGCAGGGCGGCTGAACGTAATTTTCCGTGGGTTCACGTCAAGCGGTCTCACCACGTGAACGTCTTCCCGCCCAAAATTCCCAGAAGACTTCTAAAATTTCCAAGTTTCCAGACTCCGTTGATGTTTGTTAGGGACTGTATTGCTGCGTTATCGAAAAGAGTTCTATTTGTGTTATTAAAAACTGAAAAAGTTGTGATCAGTGCTACTATTCCATGACCCTCAAAAGTTCCGAAAAATGCAGAGATTAGAGACATTCGGGAAGTTTCAAAAATTTCGGGAAAAATTCCGGAAAATCTTAAAAGTTCCGGACTTCGGGATTAGTTCCGGGAATTAAACTACGGGACTAGTTCACTCTCCTTAGGACAACAGACCGACTCATTGTCAGTTTCAGCTGTTAGATTTGCCCCGATTGCAAAGTATGAGGATTGTCGTGGAAGAGTAAATCGTGCTTTTCTGTACGGTTACGGCCATCAAAATACGATTTTGTGACAAGAGCAGCCAACCGACCACACCAAGAAATCTGGCACCATCGCTACAACTGTAAACCAAATTTTGAAGTCAAAACGAGGCGAATCGACCAATAGAGAAAGAAGGCAAAAAAACTTTCACTTTCGTCCCTCACGAGTGAGCGCAGCGCTGCGACGGGGCAGAAAAATCCATTCGGGTTTGATGCGGATTTGTGTCCGGGCTGTGTGACGTGCGTCATTCGTCACATGAAAATACTCCGGTA